ATGTGGGTAAAATTAGCATTAACCGTACCGAGAAAAAGCATTGTTTGATCTATGAATGCAAGTAATTAGATGCATTGTTGAGAACATTCATATTTCCGGATTTCTTTCCAAATTCAGACACCGACAGGATGCAGTGCTGAAATGGTCGGTGTCACCACCTTTCATACATATGTTTAATAGCGCTTCAAACACCGGAATGATTAAATAGCGTTATATAATTTATTATTTGATTATTGTTATCTTTGCTGTATTTGTAATCTTTGGATGGAGGATTGTAAACAAAAATTAAATCTAAGCTAAAAATCTAGGTCCTCCGTAGTGAGACTTACAATCAGGTTTCGAGCTGAGAAAGACAGGTTTCAAGCAGTGAAGCGAAGGCTTGAAGCGAGGTTTGAAGCGAAGTCGTAAATGTGATTTATGCAGGTTTTACTTGGATTAGTTTAGTGTTTCTATCACTATTCAAATAAACGTTCAACAAAGTTTGTGTTTGAAGCAGTTGTGTTCATCTATCGGCTATCTTGAACCTACGAAATAACGAACACTTGACGATCTTTGGAAGCAACACTGTTGTTGGAATTGGAAATCAGGGTCTGTAGTAACGAGCATCAAAGTTTTTAAAGTCTTCGTTGTGTTAGAATGTTTCACGTTATTAAAGCCCAATGTCAATTTTCGAATTTACCTGAAATTTTTTAACATGTTAGCGCAATTCTACTTAAGCTTAATTTTTTGAAAAAAAGATAAAAACAATAATAATATTAAAGATTAGAAACAACAATTGATATATTTTTTTGAGTATTTATTTAATTGGCCTTTTTATAAATGATCTCTGGTACTGCTATAAATAATTGTTACCATTTATAATAATAATTATATTGTTATTATTATTAGCAGCAGTAGTAGTAGTAGTAACAGTAGTAGTAGCAGTAGTAGCAGCAGCAGTAGAAGTAGTAGTTTTAATAGAATTATTATTATTCTGGTATATGGGTATGATATAAATGAACCACGCTCTTTCAACTTTTTTATTTTAATCTTTAGCTTGATTTCTTTGTTTAACGATAAGCGTTTTGATTTTATGCTTTAGACTTTATTTCAATTATTACAAAATTTATTTTCTACTTTTTTCACTGTTTTAATATAAATTTTCAGATCTAACAAAATATAAAATATATTTTTAGAAAATTCGTTCATATGGTGAGCCTTGGTTAAAATTCGAATAAATTTGTATTGATAGAATCAAACAGATTGCTGAAAATGAGTCTCATTGCGAAATTTTTATATTTTCAAAAAATTGCACATGGACGGGCAAACGTTGTTTTGTATCTTGGTATGAAATTTATCGGCGTCAAACTTTCAATAAAATAGCAAAAAATAAATAAGTTTTAAAATTACGAAAATAGATTGCAAAATGCCAGACAAAAAACATGCACCTGTATCAATATAGGCGAGCTGGTCAAATATTTATCAACGCGAATTATTTGTTTGATGAAATTTCGTAACGCAATTTATTGAGCATTTGTTTATTTAAATAGGCGTGTAGCATATTACTTCGTTGATCTATTCAGTTTGAACAAGATGAGTTTTTTCACAAATTTTTGCGGCATTCTCTGTTCTCGTCAATCAATTCATGAAAATATTTTCACGGCAATAAAATGGATATTATTGTCTAGTTTTTTTAAACTGAACTTCAATCAAAATTACAATCAAATTAAACCTCAAATATTTGTAGGTTGCAGTGTTTGGTTTTATTTTATTTTATATCCGTTCGAGTATTAAGTAACACAAAAACTGCTTTTTTCTCTCTCAGTAACACTTTCTTACGTAACAAAAATATTTTCTGCAATAAAATCATAATCTGTACAAACCCTTTCTATTAATCAATCAATCAATCAATTATTTATATTTATATAGCGCAGTTTATTATAAACTGTTTATAAAATTAAAATGAAAATGTGAAATAACACAGTATAATTTGTTCCATAAATCTGCACTGAAATATACGAAATACGTGTTTTCCATGAAAAAATAAAATTTTTGATAAATTTAAAAAGAAATTATTTTTTTTTACATAAAAAATATTTTACGTAATAAATTTCAAAACCCCTCCTCCCCTATTATAACACTTCATAAGGAAATCTTAGTTAGATCCCCTTCTTACGGATCGCTACATAATAGCCCCTATATTTGATATGACATTTTCAATATTTTTTATATTGTAGACGCATAATAAAACTCCTCACTGATCTCAGCACTATCATATGCTGAAATAAATAAATTGACCGACCAACGACTCACACAACTAGAGAATAAATAACTTACGCCAAACCATTGAATTAAAATTCCTATATGTAATTCAATGGTCGCGCGCTACAATTTAAATTAGCTTAATTTAGTTTTCAAAATTTTAAGCCTACATAATGTACTACATAACTTTATGTATTACAACATAATTATGATTTTCTAATATTATCTTGCTGAAGATATATATCATTTACATTCATTATTTATAATCTATGATCTTTACTTACCAATTTTTGAACACGCCCACATCAGGCCACTTCTGTTTGAAAAATTTTTGCGCGAAAATTGTAGTGTTTAAACTGCTTTTAAAATAAACAATCATAAAATATTAATAAATTAATATTGTTTAATTAATTATGGAATATAAACATAAATCGGGCTCACAAAAGCGGAAGGAAAAAGCTACTGCTTTGGAAAACGACAAAATCGGTAGTCGTTCGTTATTTCAATTCGGAATCATTAAAGAAAAAAACAAAACAAAGACAGCCGTAAATTTTCCTACTTCGGCTGAGTCTCCTGACTGTCCGGTAGGGCTAGAATTTTCAGAATCGCACCGATTGGATGAAAATGGAAATAGCGATATCCAAATTCAAAATAATGACAGTGTAAATATAATAAAAGATAATGATGCCTCTGTAAACATAGAAACTGTTGAAAGATTTGGATTTGTCGTTGGTACTTTGCCAGCCGGGCCAATACCCACACAGACTATAGAAACCGTGATTCGAAACGGTCCACCTAGACACCCGGACAATTTTCTGGGAGATGGACAAAGAGCTTTTCCGACGTGCATTTTAAAGGTGTCCAGACAAAATGGAGGTGTTTGTGAAAGGGATTGGTTGGTATGGAGTAAAGAAAAAGAATCCCTGTTTTGTTTCCCATGTAGATTATTTAGTGAAATTGCCGTATCTTGCAGATCAATTTTGTCAAGTGATCAAGGATGGTCAAAACTAAAAACATGGCGTAAAGTGTACGATAAAATACCAGCTCATGAAAAAAGTGACGGTCATAAATATGTTATATAAAGTGGCGCGATTCAGAAAGAAGATTTCTTTTTGGAAAGAATATAGTCTCAGATTGATAAAGAAATTGCTACAAAAGTAAAATACTGGAAAGACTTGCTTAAACGAATTTTAGCAGTGGTTTTATTTTTGGGTGAAAGAGGACTTGCATTCAGAGGTTCTTCCAACAAAATTGATGACCA